TACAGCTAACGAAAGATGGTAATCTGATGGTGCCATATTTGGAGAGTATGGTGGGTGGGGAGAACTTCCCAATTCAACTCCTTTATCTTGTGTTGTGTCAAACGTGCCACATGTGGATGTGCATTGTCGTGGAGAAGAAGAACACCTTTCCGATTGACGAGTGAAGGGCGTTTCTGATGAAGGGCTTGATTTAAATGTTCCAGTTGCTGACTATAGATCTCTGCATTGACAGTTTGCTGTGGATTGAGTAGTTCGAGATGAATTATTCCTTTGATGTCCCACCAAATGCAAAGCATCACTTTCTGCAGATGGAGTTGAGGTTTTGAGATCGGAAGTGGTTTTTATCTAGGACTGAGCCATTGTTTTTGGCATTTAATATTTGCATAGTATATCCATTTTTCATCCCCAGTGACAATTCTGTCCAAAAATGGTTCACGCACAAGAGACGAAGCAATGTTCACACGTTGGAAATGATGATCATTGGAGAGTTTGTGAGGCAACCAAACCGTATTTAAGTGTATTAAAACCATTTTGTAGCTTTGTTCTTACAACAAACAAATACTAAGCTAATAATGCAAACTCATCCTCATAAGTGTAAACAAAATTAATTCAAAAACAAATATGTACAATTATTTTAGATATACAATTAAACTTTAATGGAACTAAATATAAATAGATGTTAAATAGATAATTATTTACAAAACAATAGATGCATTTAGCATACTAATCCACAAAACATGGATAAACTTATCAGCATTTATGTAACAATTATTGAAAAAGAAAGAAAAATATGAAGCCCTTCAAGTGGTATTATCATTCTTTTTGTTTTTTCTATTTTTAATTATGTTATCTGTTTAAAATGTTATTTCAACATGGAATAAGACAAAATGGAGAATTATTATGACTCAAATACGCAGTTGGAGCTTATATAATAATACTATTTCAATCTGGGTTTAAAATAGGAACACATAGTGTTCAACCCTCCTGTGGTGTCATTCTCAGTCTTAGATATCTCAAATGTATTTTGTGTAATGCAGAAATGTTTAGGTACAAGAATTACTGAGACATGGTCATCATTACTGGGTTTCTTATGTCCTCTAGTTCTCTCCAAGCATATTGATGGACATTTGGAGTACCTATGGAAAAAGAATATATATCCATCTTTCAATGAGACTACTTAATCCTAAAGTTACAAAATATTGATTATACAGACATATGTATTTTGCTAAAGGATCTAATGATAAAAGACATTTTGACTCCTATGATAAGTTGTGACCATTTGGTATATTGTGATATCTCGAGGATTTCCAGCAAAGCAGGGCCCTCAAAAACAGGAGGTTTGCATATCTTGTATGTGGGTGTCTTTCCTGATGGGTGCAATTGTCGGGTCACAAAAAAAGAATGACACAGATTCAACATAAATATTTATTGAGCTCCAACAAAGACAGTGCACAAAGAACACAATATACAATGAAGTACATGATCGCAGAACAAGCAAGTGATGGAGTGTGGGTTTTAAATTGAATGTGTTGGAGCTAATAAAGATTTTAGTAGAACAAAAAGTCTCACAATGATCTGTCCCCCCCCCCCCAACAAAACTGTGAAATTGAATCACTAAGCAAAAGAAAAACAATGCTGTATTATATTACCCTCACTTTAGTCTACCTAAATAAAATAATGATACACTCAAGCAGTGAAATCCAAGCCCTTACCTTTGGTTCTTCTGAAATTAAAGTATCTTCACCACTAAATAATAAGCAAAGAAAATACAATTCTAGCAATATGAGAGCCAATACTTCACTAAGAACACTAAAATGTATCTGGGTAAGGTATATGTAAATAAACTTAATTTACTAGCAAGAACTAGCATGGTGCTCATCTTAAGTTAACTGAAAGTAATGGCGACTTAAGCTAAAACTAAATCTAATACTTGAAGGAGGATTTCAGTTAGTTGCCCTAAAACATGACAAAATAGAATATAATAATATGCACCCAACATTATACACACAGTTCTAGTGTGAGAGCTTTAGAAGTTTTTGCTGTATGTTAAAGTAATACACTGGTGTTGAATCTATGTTTGAACCTGTAGAAAACCTATGCAAAAATCTCTGTGAAAAATCTAATTAAATCTAGGTAGAATTTCATAAAATCTACTCTCTAAGGTCCTACCACTGTTTTAAATATGGCAATAAACTTCTGAGTTTCAGACACAAGGAAACAGTGATTGGTGTCTGTTAGATCAGTTTGCCAGTGGGTGGTGAAGATCATGGACAAGTCCACCTCCAACTACTGCCTGATTTCCTGACAAGAATAACTCAATATGCAAATTAAAAGGCACATTTTTATTCCTACAAGTGAGTCATACAAGAAGGTACCCGATCTTCGCTTGACCCAATTATCCCCTAGGAAAAGTTAAAGTTAAAAACTTGCATGAGCAATGCTATGTTTCACCTCAGGAAGTTATAGAGAAAAAGAAAAAAAATTGTGAACTTAACTTTTAAATTAAAAGGAGTGGAAACTTATAGTACAGCCTGGTATTACAATATATATATATTAACAGTTGCATTGATGGCTGTTCACATAAATTGATATGGCTCAGTGCATATAACACAAGCAGCAATCCTTGATTGGTTGGAAGCTTCTTCTTAGAAGCTGTATAAAAACTAGGTGATTGGCCAAGAATAACTTGTGGAGATAAAGGTACTGAAAATACATATGATTGCACCTTTTATTACATCTTTTTTTTTCTTCTAAATTTCTTTTGATACATCCATGAAGAGAACCAGAGGTCTTCTATTCTTTCATAATAAACTCAGCAACAACAATCACATCTGAGTAATTCTTGTATCTAAACGTACCTTCATTTCAAATGTCTGAGGCTGAGAATAGTATTGTATAAGTTCCATCCATCTATACAAGTTAAATTAGTTTTCCAATTTGTCTTATTAGCCCATGTTGAAATAATATTGAGAAAATAGAATAAAAAGACATCAAGAAAACAAAAGAGCATTTAGAAATAAATGAAACAATAAATCAAAACAGAAAAGAATGGTAATGTCACTTAAGAGGGTCTTTGTAAAAACTCAGAAGAGGTAAACATTTTTAATATGATGATGTGATCAGTTTGACTTAAGAAATAATTTTAATTAATTTATCACATAAAAAGTGTTATAAGTATATTTGAATTAAGTCCTTTCATCCCTCTAAACGTTTAGCATGAATACATTATGGTGTTTTACAAATTCATTTATGGAACTTTGTGTTCATGGGCTTTTGGCATGTAGATTGTGTTTCTTCTAGACTAAAAAGTGATTTACCTTGTTTTCAGGGGCAGACAGAGTTCACAATTATGAACTGATTCTGCGACAGATCCTGTACTTTAATCACAAGCCTGCGTATTATCTGAACCGGGCTTTTAAACTGGTTTGTTCTGAACTGAACAGTCGTTTCATCAGCAACGAATACATGCAGACGGTGAGATTTCATGTATTAGAAAAAAAAAGTAGAACTTTAAAATGGTGTCACTTATTCAGTGAATATGATTTGCAGGTAATATTGTTTCAAAAACTTTTTTTATTTCATAGACTATAGGTTGCAGTGACAACATGCTGAAAATTTCAGGCTTTCAAGTGGCTCTAAAATTATTATTTTTTTATTACTCTGTAAAATCTCTAAATTATCTGTGAAACCCTAATTTTTGTTAAAATTCCTAATGTTTTTTTAAGTTGAAATTTAATAGTCTCAGTTAATTGTAACAACATTAATGTAAATACTACACGTTTCACACTAATCATATCTGAATAGCTATTTGTAGTTTTTCGTAGCTGTTACTAAATAAGATCACTAGTTCAAGTTTTCAATACTTTATAAATCCTGACAGATGTTGAGCTGTGTACAACATGGCTAGTAAGTATATATTAAGTCATCAAGAAATTAATGTCGAATTTTGGAACACTTTCATAAACCACCCCCCACAAAACACATCACGTATAATAGTTAAATGAATCGCCTAAATGTCACATTAGTGTAACCTATATAATGTGTAAAATTTAGTATACTCTAATCCCTTACAGTGATGGCACACGACAAGACACAAATTCGTCATGTAATGCTGTTGAATAGAAAAAGGGAAACAATGCCTCTATAGCCTCAAAAAATACCAAAGAAATTTATGGAAATGCTTTGAATGTTCATAAGTGTCAATGATGCTTCAGAAAATTTCATTCAGGTGACTTTAGCCTTAAAAACTGTGATGGCAGGGGGCCGACATGTTGGAATATATATTGATGCTCTGAAGATACTTGTTGAGTCTAACCCAAGGCAACACACTCATGAAATGGCTCTGAAATTGCATGTCACTCTTGAAACAGTATGTAAACATCTAAGGAATATGGGAAAACTCCATAAAGAAGGTCTTAATGTCATAAATCAATAAACATGAAAGTTAAGACCTATAATGATTAGAGTGAATCATCAATTGTCTACCCATGCTGTTAATGATATCTTACAGTTGTAAACCTAATAATACCTCACAAGGTTAGGCCAACTTAAATCTGCTACATTAAACTTTACTTTTGTTCCATTTGAAGGAACTTACAACCAACTCTAAAAAGACACAAGTGACCATTGAAGGAGAGAGTCAAGAAAACTTGGAAAAACTAATGTCTGAAATAATGTATTTAAACACAAGAGAATTTCCTACACCTGGTCATCGTAACTTGTACATTGACACTGATGTAACGTGAGTACAAACCTTTTTTTTGGGGGGGGGGGATTGGGTAAGATTATGTATCTAATATTCAACCTACAAAAGAGAACAGATATCACATGCTCTACAAGTTGTTGTATTGTGAGTAATAGTAATAATTAGATACTGTCTAAAAAGAAATATGTATCTTAAAGTTTAAAAGTTGTAAAACTTTCCTTAAACTTTGATGATTTAATATTCAGGTGCTCTAATGGAAAAAGGCAGAAAGTTCCAGAAATCAGAAGTTACGTGATGGTTCTCAAACCAGACCAGCCAAGAATCAGTATCAATGGCACTTCTAACCTAGCTAGGGAGTATGAAGCCTTTAAGCAGGGTATTGAACTTTTCAATACAATATCCCTTACAGTTAACCAGCACCATGAGGAGGAGTTCTCTGATGTAGTGGTCAATATGGACTATAAGTTGGACAAGTGTTCTGTACAGGTTTATCCTCCTCTAAATCCTGATCATGAATATTTTCAGCTGCCAGAAAATCTCCTGATGCATCTTGGAATCCATCACAGAGACAATAAAGGAGGACTGATTATCTATGGTGAGTCAGAACAACTCGAGTTTCAGATGAATGAGATATCATGAGCAAACAAAGTAAAAAATATCATTGATAATGATTAATTAAAAAAGAACTAATTCAAAATAAATTATACAAAGGTCAGAAATAAAAAAGTAGCAAATTAATTAACAAAGCTATTTCTAATAAACTGACTAGAAAAGATGAACCCTCACTTCCTTTCCTATCTGTTACATTAACCATTACTCCATTTTCCTGTGTCTAGTGTTTGCTTGAACTTGTTACACACCAACAAGTATCTTGTGTTTTTCAGTTTTTTTTAGGCTTCCTGTGTTTTCAGTATTTAATAGAAGTTTTGATAATTTCTATTTTCTAAGAAACAATTCAAAATAAGAAGTTAAAGTTGAAGCTTTTAGTCACTTATTGAGATTGTTTTTATTGTCTTCTTTATAAATAAAGTAGAGTAGAAAAAGAAACAGTAGCATTCTCAGGTTAATGTAAATACACACCAAAAGAAAATAGTTGCTTTCACTTTGAAGTATTTTATTGTACAAGCTGTCATTTGATAATCATGTATGTTATGCATAAAATGGAATTATTTTTGAATGGTTATTACTTTATCATAAAAAATTCCTTTGAAATGATCTTATTTTGACTCTTTATTTCTATTTTTACTATTTGTTCAAGATGAAATTCCTATAATTCTATCATATTTTGACTCTCGGTTTCCTATAAATATGTTTAATTATTATTATTAGTTATTAGTGCAGAAATTTGTCCATATCATGGTTAATCTACATGACAATGAATAATACTGAAACATCTCCCAAATATTCATTGTTGAATGGGAGCATTGTTATCAAAATCTTTTCTTTAACAGACTGTTTAAAGACAGTCAAAAGGGAATACATCTGTCACTATGAAACCTGTGACTATCAGACATTGGTGACTGAGTCTGAAGTGACTGATTTCTTCAACAGTGGTCAAAACTCAGTCATGACTTGCAAAAGGACTATATATAAACTATGATATGACCCTGACAATCAGGGTTTGAAAAATCGTTTGTCAGGTGTAAACAAAAAAGCACTGCAAACACTGAGCAGTGTTTTACTGTAAGCATGTGACATAGTATAGTGAGTTACATTTTACTTTTCTTTGTACTGATGCTAAGTTAAACATGAAGTAATTCACATGAGGTACATGTCCTTGCTATTGTTTTTCCAGTAGTGAAAGCTGCTGAAGACAATGTAATAGTGTGGGGGACTTCATGATGTGTACTTCACGATGATCACACCACTGATTGAACCGTTGTACCTGTTTTAAAACATTCTTCCTTCCTGTAAAAGCTGTAACTTGTAATAAAATAATTACACACTGTTTTGTAATTTAACTATGATAAAACAGTTTTATAGTTATTTTGCACATTATTTTCTAGTTTAGCTATGGTAAACATATTTAAACATTAGTGAAAATATTATTGTCTAATTAATACAATGATGAAGTAGTAATGAAGAAATAAGATATTAAATAGTTTAGCATAATGATGTCTTCCACTGCAATTTTAGGAAAAGCAAATAAGACCGCCTTCCATTTCCGTGGCTATCTTGCTGGTTTGTCGCTCTTACGAGGCCAGACTGAAAACCCAGATGTCTTGTCTTGTTTATACCAGTGTAAGGAAAGTCTTGAAGAACCACTGACTGATCTTTTGGAATCAGGAATGGTAGGAATCATCCAGATGATTTGGTAGAAGTGCTATTTTCTGAATAACTGGGCAAAAATTTTAATCATAGATAATTAGAACAGATTTTTTAAATACTATATGGATGTGTGTATGTCTATAAATATAAAGAAAGAGAGAAAGTAAACTTTATGTTTATGAGATTCAGGTAGTAATTTATATACAAGGTAATCTATAGCATACAATTCAAGTTTGAGATTTTGTTTAGATGATTATATTAGTTGTATAGGTTTTTCTCACTTGTATACAATGATTTCACAATCTGTCATTTCAAACATTAATCTTCGCTTCTCACGCACATTAATCCGAATTTCTCTCCTTATACTGTCTTAAACAACATTTTTATCCCATAACACATTCATTTTTAGTTATCTCTAATATGTTAATCTTTATTTCTTTCCTAAGTAAGATACTGATCTTTATTCCTATTCCTTATGGTACACTTTCTTTGATATTTAATACATGAACCTTCATTTTATTTCTCATCTGATACTCATGCAGGACACTTGTTGGCCTGTAATACATTCAAGCAAACACTTGATACATTGTGCAGGACACTTGTTGGCCTGTAATAGGTTCATGCAAACACTAGGCACATCATGCTGGACACTTGATGGCCTGTAACAGGTTCAAGCAAATACTAGTCACATCATGCAGGACACTTGTCGGCCTGTAATAGGTTTAAGCAAATGCTATTCACATCATACAGAACACATGGTGGCATGTAATAGGTTCAAATAAACACTAGGCACATCACATTACCTATTTTGCATATGCAAATAGCAGAGTATTCTAAAAAATCTGTGTGTGGGAATTCATAATAAAATGGTCAACCAGTGTAGTTCAACTATAATACTTAGTGTAGGCTAGGCATGCAACACACAAATCTGACCCGAGGAACTCTGGTATCTAGCAAAAGCCTCGTTGGCAGCAGTATGTAGCACTGAAAGTGTGCCATTAAAATGTTATTAAGTATTATTACCAGTCTTATTCAAGTTATTGTGACGTAATACCACACAAACTACTGATCTATATAGAGATCATGATTAGTCAGCACAAGTGTCGTATACTACATGAATGTGTATGTTAACTTCATAAATATGGTTATTAGAATAAACACATTTAATGTGTATTAACTAAGTTATTACCACATTTAATTATAACATTATTTCAGTTTGATTTATGTGCTATTTTATTACAGTATTGGTAAAGCTTTAGACAAATTAAAAGCTGATTCTTCTTCTGCGACGGGAGTTCTATCAGGAGAGACCGAGTGTCTTTAGGCCCGCTGAGTGGAGGTGGAAGATGTCTGAAGTTTGTGACAACCAGTGGCATCATTATGCTGTTAGTGTGAACTTTCCTCAGGTATGCGTTTCTTTCATACTTCCACCAATTATTATCTCAGACTTAGGTCTACATGAAACTAGCATGGAGCAATTTTTCAACTTAACGTCAATGCTTTCTTTTGCTAAACCGTCAGACTTATTAAGTTTGAGATATTTTCTTATTTTGTTAGTCCATAAATCAAAGTTAATCGGCTGTCTTCAGTTTAGAAAGTTTTTGTGAATCGTGTACATTTAATTCCTTTGTAAATCTCTTAAAATGTTACAAAAACGGCCCGGCATGGCCAGGTGGTTAGGGCACTCAACTCATAATCTGAGGGCCGCGGGTTCGAATCCCCGTCCCACCAAACATGCTCGCCCTTTCAGCCATGGGGGCGTTATAATGTGACGGTCAATCCCACTATTCGTTGGTAACAGAATAGCCCAAGAGTTGGCGGTGGGTGGTGATGACTAGGTGCCTTCCCTCTAGTCTATCACTGCAAAATTAGTGACAGCTAACTCGAATAACTTTGCGCGAAATTCAAAACAAACACATTACAAAAAACAGAATATAATAAACTCTTGTAATTTATTAGAAAAAAATAATTTAATGATATTTTTCTTTTAAGGCTGCCCTCTATGTGGATGGACATGTATTTAGTGCTTCTGTTAACAACCCAGAAATTATTGATGATTGGCCTTTACATTCAATTAAGGATGTCAATAGTGTTTTTACTGTTGGTGCCTGTTGGCAAGGTGAGTGGTACTATATAGAGAAGGAAATATGTAATTCTTAAAATTATAGCTTTGAATTTTCAATGTTTATCAGCAAAAGTGATGAGTGAATATGCATCACAGTTCCGGATAAAGATGGAGCAGTGGTGGCGATTGTGAACTGGAAACAAATGTAAAACATAATCTTGAAATAATTTTAAACAGAGTTCAGTCTTTACATTCCAACAAAATAACTGTCCATTCAATACTTAGAAATCAATAACATCTCAAAACGTAAAGCTTTTACAATAAAAAAAACATTTAATTTGCGAGTCAAGCGCCCTAACTACCTGGCCATTCCGGGCCGCCCCAGTCTCGTAGAATTCAAAGTTAAGATTTTTTTCATCCCACGTCAACTTTAACTTATTAGGGAGTGTAATAATTAGAAAACAAACATGACAGTATGGTTATATGTAACTACTAATGAATTATATAATCCAGATTCTTGTGTATTTGGAGTGTTTGTTCTGATCGAATGTTTCTGATATATGTTTTAGTTAAACCTATAAGAGCAGTTTGCAGTAAATATACAACGCTAGAATCCGGGGTTCGATTCCCCCCGGCACAGCAGATAGCCCAGTTTGGCTTTGTGCATAATAAAGAAATACACATTGAAATTGATCACGCATTGGGTACAGCACACACATTGCTACATTGAAGCTATGAAGTATTGTTAGGTGCTTCGGAGTCATTGTTACAGGAAGGGAAGAACCCTTCGTCACAACGGATTTAGCTGTATATAATTTACATCTTATTTTAACTGTTTAAACGTTTTATTTATTAACATACGGGTATTTCACAGATTTTGATAGCTTATTTCGTCAGATCAGGAAGCAACGTGTTTAAATAGAAATGGAAAAAGTATAGCGTATGTCCTTTGGAGTTTCTGCTAAGAAACATCTGCTTTTCTGTTGTCCTCTGTACTGGTTTAACTTGTGGAAAACAGCTGCCGAACGGCTCTTTCACAGCGCGACTAACCTGCCTACGGCGCGTTGGTGGTTTGTGTGTTACTTTTTTCCTTATCCCCAATTGAACAATTTCTTTCACATTCAGTTACTCGCTCCCGGTATCATGTTGCTGCTAGAGCGTTACAGACTCTATTAAAGTTCATCTTTTTTTTTTTCGTAGTAGCCCCAGGTTATCTACAATAAATTAAGAAAGTCAAATAAAGCTACTGTATTTGGTAGTTACTTTGATTTGCTATGCCATATATAAGCGTAATAAGTACAGCATTATTGTTGTGTGTATGCGTATAGATACATATACGCATATATAATAATCTCAATAGAGGAAAACAGAAAAAGATAAGACACTTGAAAAGATTTATGGTCGGCTAGCGCAGATAACCCTCGAGTACCTTTGTAAGATATATTCAACAAATAACACTAAGAAACATATAGAATCTGTTTTTGCACATCGCAAGGGACATAACTCCAAACCAATTATCTTTTTAACCAGTTATGATGATTCAAGAAAATGTTGTCACTCGCATACCACAACTAATATTCTATAATATTCGAGCACGATCCACATTTTTTACCTAGCGTCTAGTGCCGTAGGCGTGAAATTTTTCGAGGGAGGGTTAGCAAATGACTTAATGATTTGTGTTATAAAATACTTCTAAACAGTTGCATATTCCACATTTAATGATAATAATATTTACATTACAAAATAATACTCAGGCGCCAGCTACTCGAAGAAAGTTCACCGGAACTTTCTTGTTACAGTGAAATGTTGGATTAAGTCTCTGAAATTTCGGGATTTGGGGTGGCGTTAAAGCCCGGGGGCCCTCTACCCCAGCGTCGTCTATGATAATGGTATGTATAGGTGTCGGTGTGCATGACTCATACTCTCATTCTACGGTTATCTATTGGAACATCGTTCACATTA